AGGTGGTCGTAAATTACCCTATAAATGTAATATCTGGGAAAAAGATATAAATATTGACAATGAAAAACTCAATTGAAAGTTGGAATTTGGTATATATTTCAATTTCTACAAAAATAAATACAATTTTCGATTTTTTTCCCTCAAATTCAAAATGAATATTGTTCCAAACAAAAAAATATTAAATTAAAAAAATATTAATTTTGGATCTAATTTTCACCCTTTTCACCCTAATTCTCAACACCTCTTTAACTATAATATATTGCAAAGCATTTTTTTTTAGAATTCATTAACCAATAGTAATGAAATTTTTGCCCATACGTTATAGGTCATTTTGTTAATAAAATTATTATAAATGTAATAGTTAGCAAAAATTAAAAAAAAAATTGAAAATTAAATCGATAGTAATAAATGCATATATTATAAATGCATTTTTTTTTAGAATTCATTAACCAATAGTAATGAAATTTTTGCCCGTACGTTATAGGTCGTTTTGTTAATAAAATTATTATAAATGTAATAGTTAGCAAAAATAAAAATAAAAATTGAAAATTAAATCGATAGTAATAAATGCATATATTATAAATGCATTTTTTTTTAGAATTCATTAACCAATAGTAATGAAATTTTTGCCCATACGTTATAGGTCGTTTTGTTAATAAAATTATTATAAATGTAATAGTTAGCAAAAAAAAAAAAAAAAATTGAAAATTAAATCGATAATTGGAATCTTGTATATATTCAAATTTCTACAAAAGCAAATAAAAAATGTGTACACCAAAAAAAATGAAAATAAAAAATGCAAAATATCATTCCAAAATAAAAAATATTAAAAATTAACATATGTGGATCGAATTAGAGGAAAATCTAAAATTTTGTTCGAATTTTCACCCTCATTTCAACATCTCATTGCTAAATAATCATAGTGATAACAATGACATTGTGCCCCTAAACTAAAGGTCGTTTTGCTCATTATCGATCCATGTAACAATCGTCGCAATGTTCACCAGACGTGCCATTTTGTCCAAATTAAAAGCTTACATGAACCTTATGCATACAACTCGAACATAGTTTTGGTTCGAGTAAAATTATTAAAACCGTCTTTGTTTTGCGCATTATTCTTCAACTCCTTTTACATCTGTCACCATCAATTATATCTAGATTTAAAAAAACATATACAATTATTCAAGGGTTTTATATTTTTAAAAGAACAACAAATCTAGCACGATATTGTGACATTTCTTAATTGCAATAAGGTTCGGAAGTTAAGAACGGTCGGAGTTATTCGAAGATGACGGATTTTTTCGACCGATAACATGTTGCATTTGTTTATTTGTTTACAATCTGTAAGTTTAAACTAAATAGTAATTAATACGTATAACAAATGATGATGCACAACAAATTTATGATTTAACCTAGCCAAAACCACGTGGCTGCATGTCCCCTAGTGATCACGAGAGCTTTTCGACATAAATGGTAAATTTAACGAACAACGTAATTATTGACCAACGGTTTATAATTTAGGAGGCAAAATATTATTTACCCTAATAATGATTTGTTATTCCAACCGTCATTTATTTCTTATTTTCATGATAAAAAACAATATCTTAATCAGTCGATATTTACCGACAAATATTTACAATAAGAAGTAAAAAAAATGAGTAAATTGCATAAGAAAATATTGACCTACAAATATTATATTTGACTGATATTTAAAATTTTCATGATTGTGATGTCATAATTAAATGAAATTGATAAAAATCTGATCATGCAAAGTTATTTTGACTACAAAATCAATATGTATGCCTTACTATTCAAAACTCAAAAATGAGTATGTAATATGATTTTTAATTATAAAATATACTTGTTTGAATTCTATATAGAAAGTAGATAGAGTGAATATATATATTATGAGTCTGAGTATAGTTTAATGAAAATCTATGCTATGGATTACAACTCCAGAATAACGAAAATCTTGTTTATGGATTTACTAATAAATATTTTTCAATTTCATAATTCACTATTTTCTAAAATGGATTAATCATAATTAATGGATAATTCTTTTCTTATTCTAAGTTTTGCATCTTAATTTAAACGTAATTATATAATAAGTACATGGGTTTATTCTATGCTACATATAATCTAACCCAAGTGAAATCCAACCAAATTTGGGAAAATTCTAAATTGTATTGCTAAATGTTTAATAAAATATTTTTTAATAAAAAGAAAAAAGAAAAAGAAAATCTCATTTCAGTATTTGAGTAAGTAAATCATTAAATCTGGAATACATATATCAAGAATTGGAATCCAATTTACATAATCCAAGAATTACAGGAATAAGATTACACCTCAACCCTCATTTCACTCTCTATATAAACTCATCAGTCCATTTCATTTCATTTCACTCACATAAAACACATTATGCAGTCACAAAAAACAAAAAAAAAACAAAAAACAAAAAAAAAACAAAAAAAACACATTCTTCGAGGCCCTTATCGGCACCACCACCGGATTCCGTGAGGCCATGTTATGTGCCGTATGCGGCTGCCACCGCAACTTCCACCGGAGAATCGAGGTGGAAATTCCGCCACGCCACCGCTCCTCCTCCATCCGCCACCACCAACAACAACAACAGCCCGCCTCGCACCCCGACCAACAACAACAGCCCGCCTCGCACCCACACCAACCACAACAGCCCGCCTCGCACCACCACTGTGGTGGCAGAAGCACCATGATCATTCGTCGCGCACCAGCCCCTGCACCAGGCCGCTTCGCTCCCAAGCACGCGGCGGCTCGTCGGCAGAGGTGGGCCCTCCCAAGCACGCGGCTCGTCGGCAGAGGTGGGCCCTACCTCACCAGGCACAGGAAGTGCCACCACAGCATGGGGTGCGTTCCCCCCGCAGAAAGAGAATAACGAGGGCCCAAAGCTGCAATATATCAACACCCCATGCTGAGAGAAATTGAAGTCGGGTGGGAGTGGAAAAGGTTCATCCAATGGTTCAAGTTTTGGTTCGATTTTGGGAACGAGAAGGATGGTGGCGGTGGAGGAGGAGGGATTTGAACTGTGATTCAAGCGGCGAATTGTTGCTACAGAACTCGTCGCCATTTTTTTCCGATTGCTGTTAGAGAGAGAGAGAGAGAGAGAGAGAGAGAGAGAGAGAGAGAGAGAGAGAGAGAGAGAGAGAGAGAGAGAGAGAGAGAAATGTAAATGGGGGAAATCAAATGAAACAAACTGACTGACAGTGTGTTTTGTGTGTGTGGTTGTGGGGTGAATTAACAGAAATACCCTTCCGTTGTAATTCTTTGTGGTGACGCAATACTTTTTATGAATTTTTGCTAGGTCAGCATTTTACATAGTTGGTAAAGATTCGGTTTACATAGTTGGTTTTAGATTCGGTTACTAGGTTTAAAGGGAACTAGTGTTTGTTGTAATAGATGCATTGTATGTATTGAGATGTATACATATCTGATTTACATTTCGTCTTTTTTTTTTATTGAAGTAAGATCTTTGGATCTTAACTTATTTATTCAACTAAAATTAGATCTTGTCATTTATACCGTTGGAAAAGTTGAAGAATCCGTTGCAAACGAACATTAATTAAGGTAGGACTAAAGGGAAAGTACTTGTAGAGTAGTTATCATGCGTAATCTCTCTCTCCTATAGACGGCAAGGCCATTAGTTTCTTGCCATTTAAGTTAATACATAAATTGATTAAATATTTGCAGACAAATTTTAGTGTCTTTTAACTCCGACGACATCCACTATTTCTTTGTGCATACGTCGAACTCTGAATACAACCCTATTTAAGCTTCGCTGATGGGACTACAGTAAATTTAAGCTTCGTGACAACATGCATAAAAGGTAAGTTTCTACCGCTTTTTAGTACAAAATTTTTGGGATTTTCTTCGACGTAACTCATCAGTAAGTTTTTTTATTTTCTTTCTAAAAGTTGTCTCTAGACAGTCATTAATGTAGAGTACGAAAAGTAACGAGGCGACTCTAAATGACCGGAAAATGTGTAATAATCAGTTAGTTGAGATCTAAGACCGCATAATTTATAACGTGTTCCCCATGCATGCAATCATATAACACGGAAGACGAGGGCCCCTTACGACTGTAACAGTAATAATGAATTTCATTTATATAAGTTCATTTATAGAAGCCGATTCTTAATCCTGTAGTATTTTCACAATAAAAAGGGAATATAGACGCATGAGTGACATAGGGGATTGTAAGAATTTATATGCCGACTTGAACCAACGATATGGAAATTCACTTTTAACAAATCTATATTAAAACTGGGAATAAAAGATTAGAATGAAAAGAAAGCAGTACCAAATTAAGAACTTCATTGGGAGCTCGCCTGAAGCATCTGGCTCAAGAAGCAGTACAAAATTACGTAACAAAATCTCGTAGTTATGAAAGAGCACATAGAGAAACCGATACAAATATGACGACTAAGGTTAAATTAACTTTTAATTGGTTAGAGTACCAATGGTCAATTTACATGTACTACACGTAATAACCTTGATAATAGTTATGAAAAATTAATCGTGTCAACAAGATTAAAACATCTTGGTATGAGCTAATTGATCGGATACAAAGTCGATTAAAAATGTGTTTCAGTACAAATTAAAGCGAATTTGTATCCTTGTTCGTTTCATATAAATCATCGATAGATTTCAATTTTAGCTCTCAGTTCGGTATAGGTATTTTAAGCCAACAAAATCTAATTATAGATACGAAAAGATCACTAAAATAGAAAATTGTGAAAAAAAAAGATATACCAAAAGTAACTTTTTTTTTTCTTTTGGCCAAAATTTTATTCCATTAATTACTATTGAAAGTACAAGGGGGCCTCGTTAAAAACCTTGTGGGCCTACACAAGGAAAAGAGTACCCCTATAAATGTCAAGGAATAAAAACGGGGAAAGAAAAACCCTATACAGTCTATTACAAAGTACGAAAGTCCCAAAAGAGGGATAAAATTGAAAAACCAAAAATTAAAAGCTCCTATTCGGTAAGCTAATCCCCGAGAAGAACTCTTGACTTGATTTATGTGTGTACGCCCAGTTTGCTAGACGGTCTGCAACCATGTTCTTCTGTCGAAACACATGCTGAAAATTGCACCCATCCGTCACCTCCTGCATACAAAGACGGTGAACATAGACGAGATCCCAAGCAACACAATTGCTCCGTATAGCATTAACTACCAATAGCGAGTCTATTTCCACCGTAACCAGAAAGACTCCCATCAACTTACATAGACGAAGGCCATGCCATACAGCTAGAAACTCCACCACATTATTGGACCCTTCTCCAAAATACGACGAAAAGTCTGCTATAATATTACCGCCTGAATCCCGAATGATACCTCCACCCGTGCAACTATCTTCTTTAGCACAGCCATCAGTATTTAACTTATAGCAACCCGTTAAAGGAAACTCCCACTTGTGCCACGCTCCTCGTTTCTCTGGCGGATGAAACAAGCGAAATCCAGCCGCCTCCAATTGCAGCCTTTGAATCTTAGTGGAGGGTTGGCGAGGAGCGTGTACTGTACCCAAATGTTGAATATTATGGAAAACTCGTCTGCTTATGGCTTCGATAGACATACTTCCTCCGTCGTAAACCACCTTACACCGAGCAAGCCAGGTTTCTCGAAGAGTGTGACACACCACCGATGCTTGGATCATCGTGTAATAGGAAAGCGCCTTCGGCTTTGGGTTCCACGTGCTTAAAGCGTGTTTAGTAGAACAAAATTCCGATGAGAGATTGAATAAATCACCCACGCGTTTCCATACTGCCTTGGCAATTTCCGATCCAAAAAATAAATGGGGGACGTCTTCTTGCTTTGGATTTTTGCAGCAAACACATCTTGACACCAAAGGGATACCCCGAGAAATAATGCGCTGATCTACCGGAAGCGCATGGTGAATTAACTTCCACATAAACCCGCTTGTCTTAGGGAGTAGATATTTAATCCAAATCCGATCCGTCCAACTTTCCCGGTGCCCCCGAATCCGAAGATGATTATAATAAGCCTTGCTCGAGAATTCACCATTTTGAGAAAGGGTAAAAATTAGCCTATCAGGGATATTTGTATCTAGCCTGACACGGCTAATTTTATCAAGTAATCGGACAGGGATAAACTGCATAAACTCCGAAATATTATGAAAAGCAGCTGCCACAGTGAGATTATTATCGTACGGCAACGGGCCTATCAATTGCTCTCCTATCCAATTATCCGTCCAAAACTTAATTTCTCCACAACCTATAATCCATTGGGTGCATTCCTCCATGCTTATAAATCGAATTCCATAGCGGTGAAGCCGTCCGTCTATTAATATACCCAAAGTAACTGATAAGATTTTTCGACCCGAGTTCAAATAAAAATAGGGGTCTTTACAAATAAGCGCATCAATGGGTACTTATTAATAAAGAGATCCAGACAAAAAACTCATTTACAAATAAGTCCACACATGGTCCAAATTTTTGTAAAAGACTAAAATAGCCCCTCATACTTTAATATGCTCAAATTTCATCCTTAATTTAATTTAACCTCAATTAGACCCGAAATTTTACAAATTATTCAATTTTGACCCAAATTTTTTTTTTTTCAAATTTTGATTTTTGCCACCGTTGACCGGCGATCAACGCCGGTCTCCGGCGTTCACTTTTCGATTTATTAATTTATTTATTTATTTTTCTTTTTTTCTTCTTCAGGATTTTTTCGCCGGCTTCCGGCGTTGACTTTTTTTTTTCTTCTTTTTTTCGTTTTTCTGTAACAATTTCATTTTCGTTTAAACAACAATATGCTGCAATTGACAGTAATATTAACTATATTATTGTTAAACACGGTAAAATTAACTATACTACAGTTTAACACAGTAATATTGCTATATTAATCTCTAGCACAGTAATATTAACAGAACAAAACTCATTGTTATTGTAATATAGAGTAATACTACTATGTTGACCGTTGAACAAATGTAAACATAATAAAAAGTCAAAATAATTAATATTACTGTGAGTGACAGTAATATTACTATAACAACAGTAATATTACCGTCAACCACAGTAATATTATTACGTTACTCCGTGAATAACTCAAACAAACAAAAAAATCCAAACAAAATAATAATATTGATAAGGTTGACAACAATATTATTATAACAACAGTAATATTACCGTTAACCACAGTAATATTATTGTGTTTACAGTAATATTACAATAATAGACAGTAATATTATTACGTTACTTCGTGAATAAATCAAAAAAAAACAAAAAACCCAAAAAAAATAATAATATTGATGTTGTTGATAGTAATATTATTGTGTTTACATTTATTTTACTGTCAAGGAATGTAATATAATTACGTTGACTTGTCAACAAATCAAACAAAATAAAAATAAATAACAAAAAATAAAAAATAATAATATTACGTTAATTTATTGTCAACGGCAGTACAATTACGTTAATTAACTGTCATTGACAGTATAATTACGTTAATTTACTATCAGTGACAGCACAATCACGATCAACGTTTAACGACGGACGTAAAAAAAAAAAAAAAAACTAAAAAAACCGTGAACAAAGTCAAATGCCGGAATCCGACGACGGAAAAAAACAGACCAGAAAAAAAATAAAAAAGTCAACCCCGGAGACTGGCGTTGACCACCGCTCAACGCTAGAATCCGCGGCAAAAAATGTTTTTTTTGAAAAAAAAATGTTTTTGAAAAAAAAAAGTCAAAATTGAATTTTTGTGGTCAAAAATGAATTTTTGTGGACAATTGATTAAATCGGGGTTACAATTAAGAATTGGGTATAAAGGGTTGGGGGTAATATTGTGATATACATGAATGTTTCATTTATTTATAATAAATATTAAATGGATGGGCTTATTGGTGAAAGAGATATAGCCCCTAAAAATATGCCTAATTCAATGATATTTTAGTTTCAATCTCCAGACACTCACATCAATATTGTTGTTTAAACGGGAAAAAAAAATGTTACAGAAAGAAAAAGAAAGGAAAAAAAAGTCAACGCCGGAAACCGGCAGAATAATCAGGAAGAAGAAGAAAAAAAAAAAGAAAAAAAAAAAAATAGTCATCGCCGGAGACCGGCGGTAAACGGCGGTGACGGGCGAAAAATGTGTGAATTTTGAGGTCAAATTGAGTTTAGATTAAATTAAAGGATGAAATTGGATCATATTAAAGTATGATGGGCTATTTTAATCTTTTACAAACATTTGGACCATGTGTGGACTTTTTTGTAAAATATTTTATTGGTTGGATATTTTTATGAATAAATACACATTGATGGGCTTATTTGTAAAGTGTCCTTTAGTTTTAGCCTTCCACCCTGGTAACCTGTTTATCACATATACTCAAACCCTATTTATCCACCAATTTTCATCTCCCACCCGACCACCATTTTTCTATTTTTTTTTCCACCAAATCATGTTTTTCCTACCAAATATAGAGGTGAAAATAGGAATTAGTATAATTAACATCATTTTATTAATTAGCATATAAATAATGATTTTAACTATTACTGAGTTATTAGCATATTTATTGTAAATACATTAGTGTTAATTACTAAATTAGTTTCAAAAATTTGAACACATTTTTTATTATTAATAAAAACATTAATTTTGATAATATAGATATACTTCCTTTTTTACTTCAGTTTTTTTTTATCAATGTTGATTAATTCATTTCTTTACATAACTAATACGTTAATTGCTATTAGGGTTCATTTGATATACACCACTCATATGGAAAATAAATAGGGCTAGGTCCACCCTTAAAAATCTTCCTTTAAGATACCTCTGGAAAGGCAAAGGAACTACTGTGCCCTTATTTGCAATTTTCGCCCAACTGCATTCAGCATTTTCACTAACTACATTTATTATTTTGGACCTGCATATAGTATTTTTGTACTGAATATATCATAATTTTTAATTTAATAATTTTTTTATTCTTGTATATATATATACTATATAGTACCTTTTTTTATTATTATTGTATTCTTTTTATAAAATACTTTTTTTTTTAATTTTTCTATTTTTTAATTTTTTTAATTTTTTGATTTTTTTAATTTTTTTTATTAATTCAAATTTTGGTAAAATTACTGAATTGAAATTGTACTACACATGACTATAGTGTACTACGAGTTCAATGGACATATATAGTTATATGTAGTTATGTACTGTCTTTTTACCCCAAAATTCATCTACACTAACAAATAAAATTCACAATTTAGATCTTGATATTATAGATCAACTAAGAAACAAAAAATGAAAAAATACAATCACATGCATATATTTTTCAAACATGAACAAGTATTACTGTACATTAAAAAACCTATATGTGTACATAGGGATGGCAAAAAAACCCGAACCGCTAGCTATCCCGCCGTTTAAAACCCGTTACCGAAACCATTAGTGTTTGGTAATGGTTTTGGTACAAGAAAAGAAAACCGTCATGATTTTGGTATGGTTCTGGTTTTACCTTTACGGTCATGTGTACCCGACCATTTAAAATATATATATATATATATATATATATATATATATATATATATATATATATATATATATATATATATATATAATTTTTTTTTCTTCCTCTTTTTTGAGAGTTACTTAAACGTTATCGGACCCAAAGTTATTTTTTATTAACATAATTTAAATGGTAAATGGGTATCCGCGGATACCCGGATATTCGCGGTAATGATTATGGTATTTCCATTAACTTTTTAAAAGGGTTTGGTATGGTCATGGTTTGAGCTATATTAAATGGTAATGGTTCTGGTATTGCACTTTTTCGAGGGTACCCGCTCCGCTGCCATCCCTATGCATACATATAACTGTATGTTACTACAGGTGACTATAGTTATCTACAATTATCTATGGTTATATATAGTGACATAAAGTCTAGACTACTATAGCATGAATCCAACTTCACAAGACACTTCATCGCATCTTATTCTATGCATGTCATAAAATTATAATAAAAGCAAAACCTACGACAAAAAAAAATACGAGTTAAAGAGCAAAATGGAACATGTGAGTTAGATTACATGAAAAATACAGTTAAAACATTTTTTTTGTTTATAAATTTACTGAAATGAAATCGACTACAAATGACTATAGTATACTACAAGTCCCATAGTCATGTATAGTTATATCATATGTAGCCACGGCTATACATGACTGTATATGACTAATATAACTGCAAATCACCCATCTAAGTAACCACTACTAATTAAATTTCTACTACAGACAAACAAAGCTCTCACAGTTGAAGCATTTCGAATCATATTCAAATAAATACAAAAAATAAATTACATATGATTTATAATAAAAAAATCAAATTAATCCAAAGAAAAAGATTTTAATATTAATTGTTCATAGATCTTAAAAAACATAGTAAATCTAAGGTTTTTCTCAAATGCAGTAAATATATACAAATCAAACACCACCGGTTTTAGAATAAAGAAAAGTGAAATAGTGATAAGGATTCAGAGCTTACAAAAATTAATTAAAAATGGATGGACATTCATAAATAAAAAACAATAAATTAAAAAGGTGAAGTGTGGTTTAATACAAAGTTCAAGGGGTGGGAGGAGCAACGACGGCGGAGCAGTGGTGTAAGGCGGTGGCGGAGTAGCGGCGCAAGGTGGTGGCAGAGCAATGGAGCAGCGACGCAAGGGGGCGCAATGCGGTGGCGGAGCAGCAGCGGTGGGAGGTGAGAGAGAGAGAAGAGAACGAGAGTTTGAGAGAGATAGAAGAGAAAACGACGGTGGGAGGGAGAGAGAAGAGAAAACGGCTCGGAGGAGGGAGAGAGAAAAGAGAGAGCTGAGAGAGGGCTAGGGTTTTAAATTGTAACTAAAAGGGCAAAATGGGTATTTCAATTTGTCTAGGGGGGTCTATCAAGTTAAGATTAGAAACTAGGGAAGAAAAATAAATAGGACCTATCTCTATTCTCCACGTGTATGAACTAGAGTTCTAGTGTAAGTGATAAGCTTATCTAGACTTCCTTTTTCATTTGAAGCCAAATAATTATTACATAAACCGAACTTTCGTCGATCCAACAATATGTTTATATACTCGATTTCAATGCTTAACTATGATTTATACGAGACCATTATGGTGAACATAATTTTTGACAAGCTTCCGAAATCCCAAAATCTATAATCTACACAGCATTATCGAGATCTAACGAAATAGTTAACCAAAATCATCACAGCCACAAGCAACTTTCTTCGCATTTGGAAATCATTAAATTCAATACTC